CCCCCAACTGATTCTTCAGTTATCTTCTGTCACCATTGGCCACCAAAGAGTACCACCGGTATCAAAAAGACTCTTTTTCACAAACATATCCTCGGAACCGACTGTCAGCAACGCAAAAAAAATGTCAGCAAAGGAGACACTACAAAAAAAAAAGGGAAATCGAAAGAAAACGTCGACAAGCAGACGGAGGTCGGCGCAGTGCAGCACAAGAAGCCTTGTTGTTCTCTTGTGACAACGTGGATGACACAAGGATAAGACGCATCGGTCTCTTACCTTCTTCTCCCTGTGCCTCATGGAATCATTGCAGTGCTCCGTTTGTGTGGCTGAGCTGAAGCGGGTGAAGGAGTGAGAGTCAGTTCGAAACGTCCTGCGAGCAACAGGACATGAAGTACACACGCGCCGATCCCACTTGATCAATATCACTCTTTGAAAGCATCTATGGCAACGAAGTTGACAATGGAGAAACTTAGTACCCTCGGGGCCTGTGATGATGAGTTGTTGCAAGGTTGAGGGCAACAGCACATTGACAGTCACTGGGTTTGGTAGATGAGGCTGCGTCAGGGCACAAAGCAAGTCTTCATATTGCTTTTTGAGCGGTCAAGATGTCGACTTGTGTTGTCATCGCGGAAGGAAACAGACCCTCGGTTAAATGCTAGTCACTGCGGTGGTGAGGAAGAGAGATGTACACCGATAGATATGAACTCCCAACGCTCGTTGGTACATGGCGCAAACAGCTAATTACACATGCAAACAAGAACCTAGTTAGTCTGGTGAGCAGCCTAGAAAGAGCATGTGATGGCAACTCTGTTGTTGTGGTTGGGAGAACAATACTGCAAGATTTTATTCCGCAAACGTTTGAACTATTCTTGCCTCTTTTCACGCCTCAGGAGCTCTCAATCTTACACGCTTGTTTGGCAAAACCTCCATCTGCCAACCCAGCAAGAAAAAGGGCTGCTGAATGGAAAGAGAGGATAATACAAAACTTTCAGTGCACAACAATGCGATACGCTGCCTGTGGTTTGCTTGCTCTCTGATTATCAAATCAGCTTTTCCCTCTGACTTTGTCTCTGAGTCTTCAGCGGCTTCATCGTGATATGGTTGTTCACACAAACTTCTCGCGCTCTCAGCAATCACTGCTGGTGGGGTCGCGCCGCGACATTTCATCTCCTGCGCATCGCAGTCATCGTCCAACGTCTATATTCGGATGATTGCCTCTCAGAGTCTGACTTAGAGACAGTGTGGTAGGAGCTCTACCAGCTTTCGTTGTTGTCGGTGTGCCACGTGTCTGACAGTGACCGTAGACCGTTAACAAGGTCCGGGCCGCTGTGCCATGCTAGTACGGTCACAGTTTGATCGGACTTCACCTCCTCGCACTGCTGCAGTGAATGATGTCACGGTAATGACGTGAGCCTTGGCGGCACTGGCACCAAGCCTGGGGCTACTGATGATAGTAGATGCGGGGCAGACGCGTAACGTTGCCGCACTCGCGGCAGTAGCCTGAGGCCTGACCCCACTGGCCGCGCAGCTGACCGTGACTGTCGCCGCACAGCTGGCCCATACGGTTGCAAAGAGAAAAGATCGGACAGTCGGACCGGCGAAGAACCAACCCTCATCCCGGAGTCCGGCCGCCTGCCGACTCCGGCGGCCACAAGCTCAGTCACTGATCGGACCACGCCGGGTTGACAAGGGCCTGCCAGGCTGGCTAGTAAGTTACGGCGGCAGTCGGATCAGGCTCTCCGCAACCTGCGGATGCCCGGGCCGGCCCGGGCGGGCCCCGGTGACCGTCACGGTGGCCGGGCCCGGCCGCCGGGCGGCGCCCGGGACTCCCTGCCGGGACTCTGAGCGGCTCCGGACTCGGGAGTCCGTCGGACTCGGCACGGGCCCACGGTGTGCCGACGGGCGCCGGGCCGGGCCCACACTGTCAGACTCACACGGTGACGGTGACACTGAACTTCGGAACTCGGAACTTGAGTACACCGGGCCAGCCTCGGCGCTCAGCCTCCGGCCGGAACTTCTCCGGAACTCAAGTTCCGAAGTTCAATTTTCTGACCTACTACTAGGCTCCGAAAAAAATTCCAGCCCGCCTCAGGCAGCACTTTGAAGACAGTGACTATGGCGGATGCGACGAGTTGAGATACGATGGGATGGGATGGGAGGAGACGAGACGAGAGGGGACGAGAGGGGACGAGAGGGGACGAGAGGAGATGTGTTGAAGTAACATGGCGTGATCGAGATAAGATGAGGTGAAGGATTCTGTCAAGAGAGCATGATCCTGGTCCTGCCTTGCTCGCTGAGTCCTGGCGTCCAACTTTGGAAGCTGCAGACACAGGCAGCTTCCTTTCCTACCCGTCGATCATGTTCGTGCCATTCACTTCTCTCGTGTAAGAGTGAGCAAGGCTGAGAAGAACCTTGAGCTGGGGAGAAGATGAGTGCTGGTATGACTCGCCGTGAAGGTGGATGCTTCTTGCTTCCAAGGGAGAGGAGACGGCAGAGGGTGGTCGTTCATGGCCTCTGGTTCCAAACTCTTTGCGTGCTCCTGAGTAACGCCAGCATGCGATCTGCCGAAGTCAACATGGGAGGTGCTTGCAAGGCCTCTGGCTCTGCCCAACTTCTGTCAACTACATGTCGCCATGCTCGCCATCTTGTTCTCCGTGGAGGAGACAGCAATGAAGTCATGCAAGGTTGGAGGGGGGGAGGGGAGGGGAGGCGATGATGAGAGGGGAGGAGGATAATAAAGTTTGATTGAGCAAGCAGACATGCAACGCGTAGACGATGACGTTTATGGAAAGAGTTGGAACTTCAACGACATGATGTCTGGGCTGTCGATGAGCTCAAAGAGATCATTGATGGTTGAAGCTATCAAGGTTGTACCGTTTTGAGATACATTCTTGCCATGAGTTGAGTTTGACTGTGAGCAGGCTGGAAATCTCCAGGATGTTCAGAACTTTGTGAGAGGCGGGATCAGTTTGAACGAGGCTGCGCCGGGTGAGAAAGCATCGTGTGGGAGGTTTGCATGTGCTGAAAAGCTCTTCAGATCTTTCTTACCAGCAGACTTTCGTGCATCTTGCTGCTAGATGTGGAAACATCGAGTGTTTGAGACTTGTCTTGGAACTTGGTGAAAAGTTCTCACTGAGTCACCTTGTGTTGCCGTAATGCGATCTTGATGCAGGTGGGAACGTTTCCGTGGTTGACAGCTTCTCAAACACTCCCTTGCATATCGCCTCTGTCCATGGGCACATTGGTGGCACTCAGACTTGGGGGAGTGGGGAAAGTTGAAAATTTCGCAGATGCCGTGATGTTGATGATTGAGAGTGGAGCAAACATGTCAGCTGCAAACAAGCAAGGTTTCCCAGGAGAATTGTTTCATCAGCATTCTCAGTCTTTCTGTTTTCCTCCTTCGCAGGATTACAACCTATCCACATGGCGGCTTCCAACGGGCATGTGAATGTATTGCAGACGCTGATTTTGATGGGTGAGAAGCAAATGAATGGTTGAGATGCGATCATACACTGGATAAGATCTTTGACCATGTTGTACGTGATTGCCTATCATGTGAAGTGAAGTGCTCAAACGTAGTTGAGAAAGTTTTGTGAAGAACCGCAGCTCCACTCTCTGATACAACTCTTGTTTCTGATCATGTGTCCACGAGCAGGAGCAAACGTCTCATCTCCGACGTCCTCCGGATCTATTCCTCTCCGTTGGTCGTCGGTCAACGGGCATGTTGAAGCTTCGAAACTTCTCCTGAGGAGCTGGAAAATGAATCAGACCGCTGAAAGAGGGATAAATCCATGTTATCACCGAGACAAGGCAAACAGAACAGGTGAAAGAATGTTGTTTACAGATTAGTTCCTACTCAACAAGCTCGCCTCTTTATCTTGGTCTGTCTTGATTACACATGATTCTTTGTTGATCTTGTTGATTTTGGTTGATCCTGTTGATCTTGTTGATCTTGTTTTGTGCTCTTGTGATCTTGGTTCGAAACAGTGGTAGAGGTTGTGAGGGACATGTTACGTCGCAATAGGGAGAAAAATGTTCTCAACAGGAGGCTGGAGGTAACAACCTGCAACTCGTCAGATGTCCGTTATTTCATGACATCACTCTCTAGCAAATCCTTTCCATGTTGGAATCGTTTGCAATCAGTGAGCAACTACCTCCTGACCACCAAGAGGACGTGTTGATGAAGGACAACAACTTGAACCTATCTCGGGCCAACACATCCGAAAACACACTTTCAAACACTACTCTTCCACCAAAGATCTCCAAGTACTCTTTCTTGGCGCCTTACCTGGACATCCCCAAGTCATTCTACCTGTCGCAATCGTCAGAATCAGTCTTGACGTCCGGTAGCTCAGTCAGTGCGTTTCATCACCATGATTGCGGAGTCCACAAAGACCCCAAGATGTTCTCAGATGAGAGCGAGATGCAGAGACGGTACCCGGTGACTCCTCCTCCTCTTGCCCCCCGCACCCCCTCTTCTTGTCTCTCCTTCTCCTCCTCCCTCCTCTCCTCAACCGCCCCCCCCCTTCCTTACCTCTCCTCCTCCTCCTCTTCCTCCTCCTCTTCCTCCTCCTCTTCCTCCTCCTCTTCCTCCTCCTCTTATCTCTGCTCTACCTCCAGCCCCACCCCTCTTCCCCTGCTCCTGCCTCTGCTCCTGTCCTCCACTTTATCAATCTCATTCTCTACTAGACCTTCTGTTCCTTCTTTTCTCTTATATTGACCAATCATCTTACCGGCTGCTTCCTGTACCTCTCGCTGTTTGAATTTACTCATTCCTGTTACAGAGCAAGTTTCATCTTGTACTGCCCGAAAACAAACAAGATGAGTTGATAAGGATGGCGAATGAAGCAAGTAAGGAGAATAATTGCTAATCCCCGACACTTGTACTGAAGCATGAGCAGAGCAGTACGAAGAAGAAATCGATAAACAATGGGAAGAAAGGTCGACTGCGAACAAAATCACATGTTGCAGACTCTTGACACAAATACTATCTGCAACCTCTGCTTACAAACTATGTTTACATGATTGCCCGTGAAACCTGACTGATTTCCTACTGAGTGTTCGATTGCAATACCTTGAATGGCTACATGACCTGATTCACTTCTTCTGCTCCTTTAATTCTTGCCTGATTCTCTTCCCTGCTGCCCCTGCCTCCTCTCTCCTGCTCGATCGACTACTCTCACCTTCCTACGCCTCTGTCAACCCTGTTTCTTCTGTTCCTCAATGCTTCTACTTCTGTATACTCTTTCTTTCCCTGTCCTTGCCATCCTTACGTCTCCTCTCCCTTTCTCCTCTTCCTTCCCCGTTCTTCTGCCTGCTCCTTCCCTCTCTTCCTTCCTCTAACTTCGTCTCCTCCTTCAACTGTTTGAAACATTTGGATCAGAATTGCAAGGGGCCAACCCGGGTCAGCAAGGACGGTGGACGAGCTTGACTCAGTATCGGATGAGTTCATGGATGAAATATTGTATTACCCGACATTGAGGTACGATTGTGTTGTGGTGTTTGCTTTTCTTGTTTGCAGGAGTTTAATGTTATCCAATTCTCGTTGCAAGTTTTGAAATTCTCTGCGCCTCCTCCTTCAATCCTTGAAACATTTTTTGTGAAACAGCCAATTGTCAGAGGAGGTGAAGAAAGACGAGTACAAGGGTGAGAACAAAAACTTCTCGGTTCGCTCTCAGTAAAGCTTGAGGGTCTTGGTGCAGAATTCATCGACGCCTTCAATGAAAGATGTCAGAAGGGAAGTTTAGACGATTTCGGAGTTGATCCGGTAAATTGGTCTCTTGCTAGACTGATCGCATAACTATCTGTAGATGAATTCTCCTCCAGTTAATCCCAATTGCTTCACGATGCACGATTTTTGTGTCAGCAGGTAAAATAATAGGAGGAGGAGGAGGAGGAGGAGGAAGGAGGAGGACGAGGAGGAGGAGGAGGAAGAGGAGACGAGG